CAAAACACTCCCACCCCATTCCCACATACTTCGTTTTGGGGGATATATAAATTGCTATGTTAAATTATGAACACTCTTCCGGCCCAAACCGTCTCCCTGGAATCAAGATTTGAAAAAAAAAATGAATGTATGCTTTGTTGGAAATTTTCTCATTCTAGTCCAGGGGTTCTTGAGAATACTATTTTCAAATGACCCCATGCACGGATCTAGAGGGGGTTGGGGGCAGTTAAATGTATATACCAAACCAAGTAAAAGTGACCATGGACCCCCCCCCCCCCCTCGGCCCTAGAAAACGCGGACTCTTCCTCGAAAACGCTGATCTGTGTTAAAATGGTATGAAAAGTCTTAGGTGTGAAGCTTTAAAAGTCAATGACCCTCCCCCCCCCCCCACACACACACACACAAATACACACACGAAATAGGTTTTTCACATTTGGGAAAATAGTTTCTTTTTTTTTTTTTTTTGGCCCGTCAAGAAATTTCTGGGTTGAAATATTTTTTTTCTTGGGATCCTCTCCACCACCACCCCCCCACCCCCCTCCCGTGGAAAAAAAAATCCTTGATCCGCGCCTGAACCCCATCTAATTTTTACTACATGTATCCGTTAAAAGAGGACGTGACCCTTTATTTAAACAAAACTTTACCAAAAATATTCTATGTTAATTTTCGTTGTTATGGCCCAGTGGTTCTTGATAAGATAAAAATGAGAAAAATGTACAAGTAGCTTTAGAACGACAACGACGATAACGCTTATATACACCAAGAAAGCAAACAAAGATGAAGAATTATGAACAGAAAAGCTTACTTGGGCATTTGGCTTGGGAGATGAGATACTCATTTTTTTTTTACGATCGAGTGGCCTGCATTTCAAAGAGAGAGAGAGAGAGAGAGAGAGAGAGAGAGAGAGAGAGAATTTCTAGCTAGGTCTTTGAATAACAGTGACATCGGTTCAGAAAACCAGGTCCCTAGGAATGTACATGTATATAAAATAGGCAGTGCCTTTCTCCAGGAAATTCATCACCTGCTTCTGTAAAGCTCCATCTTCACTTGTACTTACATAACCGAGTGCGAAGGAAAACATTCTATTTATTTCGGGGATGGGGGTATACGTATATTGATGAGAGGAAATTTATTCACCTATACGTTCATTAAATATGAAAGATTGCTTCTGAGTATTTGTATACGATCGCACGACTTTCGTGTTAATTTATAAAAGTTAGATTATGTAAGCAAAGAACTAAACTAACATTTGTTCTAGATGAATTAAATAATTATTTAGCCGTTTATAAGTTTTTTTTAAACATTTGTAAGAACCACTTAATTCAAAAAACATATAATCGTCCTATTATGGGCGCCTATGATATATTAGACAGGATGTTTAATTAAAATATAATTCAGATAATTATTACTCCAGACATTTAATAAAAATCTCGAACCCGATCTAAAACGCGTTGACAAAGTCAAACCAGACGGTTTTAGTTTTTAGGGCATTTTTACAGTGATATGAGAAAAGTCTGATAATTGCTGTTCATTTTAAGAAATAAAAAAAAGTTCGTCATTATTCAACCTCGTTCGGTATAATATTGCTATTGTGTACTCGGATTAAACCCAAAATCCTTCGTTACATTGCATTTGGGTATAATTTTCACATCTTCTCAGGCGGATATTTATTTATTTATATCTGTCTTAAGACAATAATTTCAGCTAATTGAGAAATGTTTTTATTTCATCTTTTTTCCCCATCCTTTTGATTTACACGTTTGCTTTGTACACAAAAGCGTGTGTTCACATACCGCTGTTTCTACGCGCTATCGATGTGATCAGGGAGAACGTGATATTCTCCAGCAATTTACTTCTTATGAAAACACTCAATGAAAACATATTAGGTGAAAATATATATACCCGTTAGTATCTTATTACCTGTTTAATTGCAACCGTAATGATCGCTGGCCAGGACTTCAATATAATTTATTACCGTTATGAAAACAACTCGTCAGCTGAAAGGACCTATGATTTAAACAGTAAAATAGAAAAATTCCAGAGTTCAAAGTGTATTTATTTTGGGCGCTCTTCCACATAAACAAATAAAACCGAATTTACGCGTACTTACATGTACATGCATCTACCAGTAATTCGTATCATGGGTAAATTCAATTTATTAGATGAAATAAAACAAATGCATAAAATTAATCTTCCTAAACAACACGTTTTTTAAAACAATCTATCTTATATAACTGACGGTATAAAATAACAAAGAAAATAACGGGTTTGTGTTTGTATTTAATTTGGAATGAGAACAAATCTTAACCTGTCAAATCATTTATAACCCTTCACATGCACTGACCAAGAGGTCACAAGTTTGAAATGTATGGCTTCTCATTGCGTGAGTTTTGTCAACACATGTCGGAGTAGACTATCTAAGCCAATTGATTCCCAAAGAAAACTGTAAAGGAATGTTTTTTTGTACACTTTTTAACGGGTAAAATTCATTCGACGCTCGACAGAATTTCAAATACAAGTGCAATATTTAGGTTACTTGCGTCCGACCTAGTATTTTGTATGCAATGATATTGTAAGTTAGGAAAAAAAATAATACAAACTCAAAAGTAGTTAATTTTATTTTTCGATTTTCCTGACAATTAAAAATGTGACCTCTACGTACATTATCGTGATAATTATATACATGCTGTTTAATGTTCATGAAAGAAATAGCAACTCGTTAAACAATAACATTAGAGCGATAAATAAACTGTTTCTTTAATACGCAAACAAAGTGGTCTTTTTGGCATTCAAAATGCATTGAATTTGAAGTCAGTTAAGACTAGCTGATTAAAACGAGCGAGTGATAAACAGTAAGGCGAAATCATATGAAAGATTCGAAATGATTTTAAAGTAATTTTCCACACAGCACAATTATCTCGATATCGAGAAATACAATGTTTATAAAAATAAATATGCAACTTTCTTATAATTCAGCGAATAAAATATAAATTGAAATGTACTAGCGACTTAATCAAAGATATTATGAAATAATCTGAAAGATTCAACATTTTTATCCACTCATCACTTAGTTTACAAAATGTATTTGGAATGGCCATTCTATGGTTTGTTTTGTGTATGACCTTAGGTCGCTGGTTCACACGCCGATTGATCCCCGGTGACCTCCTTTGCCACGCGCTATCGAGGTAGGGGTTACATAATTGTAAACACACAAGGTGAATGTAAAAGGTGTGTACTTAATGGCTGTGAATAGTCTATGTTTAAAGTTTTGTTTTATTTTCTAACTTTATTGTGTGTTTTTACATGATAAGAAGAAAAGGTTAATATCTTTTTTCCCTCTTAAGTAGACTGGTTTATCCAAATTGAAAACAAACGAAATAAAAGGGAAAGTTGTCAGTAAATAATTTGGAAATAAAGCACAGAATACTTCAAGAACCCGATTCTAAAGAATATTAGCATCTAATGTAGCTAGATTTATTATTTATAGTAAGTTTATTTTAATTACACGCATGAGGAGCTCTTGTTTACTTGCTGAATGAAAACACTTACCTGTATATGTGTTATGCTTCTAGCTCATTTAGAACAAAAGACTAAAACAAAATAAATTTTTCTTGAGATCAATAAGATGTTAAATAACAACTTTAATTACGGCAGCTTTTCCGAAATATTTACCGTTTTTGAGTTATAAAGCAAAAACTTTAAAGGGCCCCAGATCCCTAATTTTAGGGGCCAGACCCTTTTTAGTGGTGTCAAATGAAAGGCCTTAAAATTGTACACAACTTTTATTCTACATATTTTATCAAAATATTTTTAGTTTAGAAGATAAAAAGGAAAATATGTGTAAATTTTCGCTCTTTTAGGAGTTCTAATTTTTGACCCCTCTCTAGCGCCATTTTGAATACAGAAATTGAAAAACAAAAACCGATGTGCACAACTTCAGTGCTTCTATTATTTAAATTCGGTAGAATTTCTTCTCCAGCTTTCGTAGTCTCTTACCCTTTGTCTGGAAATGAAGCCTCCTAAATTTTCATTTAAAGGGAGATAACCCAAAAGCGGAAGTGGATTTTTGAAATGTTTGACAGCATTCTGATAGAGTTTTGTAACGTCTATAAACCCTGCAAATTTGAGCAAAATCCGTTGAGAAATGAGCAAGATATGAGGTCTCAAAGTTGGCGTCTAGGAAAAAAAAGAATAATAAGAATAATCTTAACCATCAGAATCAGTATAAGGTCTCCCGGTGGAGCGGAAGACCTTAACAAGACTTACACCTTAACCCATTTTTGATTTAATTAGGCCAGGGGCATAACACACTTATACCTTAGAATACCCTGTACGAAGGATGAAGTCGATTTACTTCAAATGAAGTGAACATTTTTTTTTTTACAATTGACAAACAATTTTAAAGAATAACCTTGAACGTAAAACTTTAGCTACGTCTCTACTTACTGATAACAATGCTTATCTTGAAACGAGAGCGATATATTGATGCTAATTATACAGGGATAAACTTTAACAACTGGCATTTCAATATTGAAACAAAAAAAGGTCTAAAGAAGGGTTTTTGTAGATCTTTCTATTTCAATATCCGCCAAATATTTTTTAAAAGTGAAAAACCAGTGTGCATTGATTTCTAATAAACACATAACAATTTTCTAGAAAGGACAAGATTTTTCGAGAAGAACGATTTAATAGATGGATGCTGATGTTTTATTTTGTGTTTTACGGTACCTTTTTTTCGATCAGGCATAACATATTAAATTAATTCAATTGAATTTCATAAGGTAGGGACTAAAGTTTTGCATTGAAACAATACAGATGGAAAAAAGAATAAAAAGTTCAGGGAAAATTATATCACCTTTGAAAGAGAATGCCAAAATAAAGAGGTTTCAATCTAATTACAGTTGTCTTCTAGGAAATATAGTTATCTTTTAGCATGACGTTGTACTTCGTGTGTCTTTATATGATTTTATAATGTTCTGTTTATAAAATCAGAAAGAGTATTGTTTCTATGTTGATAAAAGTTTATTGATATTTCATTCCTAAGTTATAAAGTAAAAGAAGTACATGATATATGTAATGATTTTTAGCTGATGTTCAGGAGCTCCTAGAAACACTTTCTATGCACAATGGAAGGACCGGATTCATCATATTCTTGCTTGCTAATCCACATCTGCTGGAAAGTGGAAAGTGAAGCTAGGATAGAACCACCAATCCAGACCGAATATTTTCTCTCTGGTGGTGCGATTATCTTGATCTTCATTGTGGACGGAGCCAACGCGGTGATTTCCTTCTGCATACGGTCAGCAATACCTGGGTACATAGTTGAACCTCCAGATAATACTGTATTTGCATACAAGTCCTTACGAATATCAACATCACATTTCATGATGCTGTTATATGTAGTTTCATGAATACCAGCAGCTTCCATTCCAAGGAAAGAGGGTTGAAACATGGCTTCCGGGCACCGGAATCGCTCGTTGCCAATAGTGATGACCTGGCCGTCGGGAAGTTCGTAACTCTTTTCCAAAGATGAAGATGATGCAGCTGTTTGCATTTCCTGTTCAAAGTCCAGAGCAACATAGCATAATTTCTCTTTAATGTCTCTAACAATCTCTCTCTCAGCAGTGGTTGTAAAAGAGTAGCCACGTTCTGTCAGAATTTTCATAAGGTAATCGGTTAGATCACGTCCAGCAAGATCCAACCTCATAATGGCGTGTGGAAGGGCGTAACCCTCATAAATTGGAACTGTGTGGGTAACACCGTCTCCAGAGTCCAGTACAATTCCAGTTGTACGACCAGAGGCATACAAGGAGAGAACAGCCTGGATAGCTACGTACATAGCGGGAGAATTAAAGGTTTCGAACATAATCTGTGTCATCTTTTCTCTATTGGCTTTTGGGTTTAGTGGGGCCTCGGTCAAAAGGACAGGGTGTTCTTCTGGGGCCACACGGAGTTCATTGTAGAAGGTGTGATGCCAGATCTTCTCCATGTCATCCCAGTTGGTTACAATGCCATGTTCAATTGGATACTTGAGAGTGAGAATACCCCTCTTGCTCTGGGCCTCGTCTCCTACATAGCTATCCTTCTGACCCATGCCAACCATAACACCCTGTAAATCAGTTCAATCGTTAAAAGTAAATGACTGAAAGTATTCATCACCCTTATAATTTCTTAGGATTTTTTTTTTTTTTTTTTTTTTTTTTTTTTGGAAAAATGTTAATTTTCAAATCTAAACATAACATTTTGTAACATAACATAACATAACTATTAACATCAACTGTATAGGCATATAAACGTATAAGGATTAGAAGCACCCCACCGTCGTACGACGTCAACATGTAACTTCTATCGCAAAATATATTTTAAAGATAAAGTGATAAGTTCAATACTTTCCGGAGTTGAAATGTTTGACTGAATTTTGAACGGATGCTTGTCTTCAGTATAAGAAATAATTGATGATATTTATTTACATGCTGTCTTAGCCAAGTTCTAGTTGTATTTGAAGTGTCATATATATGATAAACAGTTATGACATCATCAGTCGGAGTATTTAACTCCAAAGAAAAATGGTTTTTGAATTCATAACAAAACAGAAAAAAAATTTTCTTCGTCATGTTTTTATTTAATAGGAGTTGAAAAAAAATTAAATACAAATATTTCAGGTGCGTAGAAAAATTTTGGGGCAGGGGACCAGAATATTTCTACCAAGCAATTATTCCTTGACAAGCTATAAAGGTCATCAGACTTGTAATTATTGAGGGGGCAATCGGTAAAGTAGCTTTGGTTTCATAGTATACTATATATAAAATATAAGGGGCACACCTACTTCTGTTCCTACATCCAGAATTAGAATTAATTTGTTCTAAAATTAACGTCATATAGCTTAATGTAATATAATATCATGTAAGAAATCACCATGTGAGAATATCTGGGTGCAGCCTTAAGATACTGTAAACTCATATTTTCATGGGGTCTTTTTTTTGGATTTGATATAAAACTATGAGTCCGTTGGAATTTGATTTCGTGGATGGAGAATTGATGAGTTGTTCTGTAATGACATTTTACATTTCGTGGTGAACCTGAATTCCTGGGTCTCTTCAATCATCGAAAACACCCCCCCCCCTCCCCGAAAGTTAGTGATTTTACAGCACCCACGAAAATTAATTATGTGATGTTATACTACTGTTAAGATTGCCATTGTTCATGGGGTCGAATATTCATAGATTTCTATGAGAACCCTCATCTACGAATTTATATCCCAACCAGTTATAAACTGTGAAGGTACCGGTTCATTGACTCTTTTCAATATATCAGCTACTCAAGAAATTACGCAAAACTTTTGTTATCCATAAACATTGACCCCCAGGAACTAAAATGATTCAACAGTATATCAAATTTTAGATGATTTTTTTTCCCTTTTGACTCTATCTGATTTTTTAAACCTAAGGACAGGGTCTTTTTTCTTTCTTCCATTACAAAGATCCGAACATTCCCATAACAGAACAAAAATCTTCGGTACTAAGTATTTGTTTCATAACTTTATGGTGGCTTAATTTGCTTCAAAGTAGATCATTGAAATTAATTTCGTTACGTTTCTTTTCAGCTGGCTTTAGGTTTCTTGGTATAAGTAATGTCTAAACAATAACAAATCATCTTTTAAGCATCTTTAAGCCACTGTTAAGCTAACTTTGCAGAACCCCAAATCATCAAAGCTATGTTAAAGTATTCCTGTCTTACACTTGCCCCACTGACTACTGGTACACAATCCTACCGTATGGACCATGATTTGAACTAACTTGAGTATGCACTACTTATAAGCATCAGTCGCCCGCGTGGCGCAGTGGTTAGAGCGTCTGCTCTAGAGTCGCGATGTAAGGAGTTGATCCTTACGTCGCGGGTTCGAATCCCACTGTGGGACGTGGAGACCGGTCCTTCGGATGAGACCGTATAAACCGAGATCCCGTGTCGCAGAAGGTGCTGGCACGAAAAAGATCCCTCACTGCTCAATGGCCGTAAGTGCCGAGTATAGGACAAAATTTGCAGCTCTCAAACAAACAAAACTTATAAACATCGCATATAAATAACTAGAGTCTTTCTTTCTTTATACAAGAAGAATTCCAAATGTTTTTCCTTACAAATTCCAATATATAACTTTGATATCTTGCCCCAGTGAACCATGGATGGACCAAAGTTAAACCTACAATACTGTAGATGTATAATACTATAAGTATTTAGCGTGTATGATATTTGGCGGAAATGGATATTGTAACATATTAACACAGATTTGATATAGCACATTTCTAAATCTCATTTCTTAAGTGTATATGTGCGCGACATTTAGGCACTTAAAAGAATACACAGCCAAATGTAATACGTTTACGGTATCTTTTTTCGACATAAAGGATTTATATGCTGGGCTTAATAATAGCTTAATAAAGATCATGTTGAAAACCGTTTGAAAGCCACCTTAAGTCTACCTCTGTCAATTTGAAGATACCATGAAGCCATACATAGCATTATGAAAAAAGCTTAATGGTAAGTTAAAATATATGCTAATATATTTCTTGAAGATACTTAAAGGGTTCTCAAAGATGATTTAAAGACCTTCTTTAATAATATGAATCACATGTAGGTCGCATTTAATATTTATCTTGTGAAGTAATGGATTAAAATATTTTTTGTAATAATCAATAATAAAAAAAAAATATTGATTCATCGTGATTTATATATATTTCCGTTACAGTTAGATTTTATATATCAACTGATTGAATAGTATTAGTTGATAAAAAAATGATTGTATAATTTTAAACGACTATATACAAGCATAATGTACTTTTTTGCAGATCCAATGTTTTTGAAAAGCTGAGAAATCTTTTCTGAAAGGTTTTAGTTTCAGAAATGAAATGCGTCATCATTTTAAAAAAATTAATTCAGTTCATATTAGATCTTCCATATCATGCACACTTCAATACTTTTAAATATTTAAATAGTTTAAACACTTTGTCAGCAAGTATTTAAATCTTTATCACCGAATCTACGACAATTTAGCCTAGATATTTCTAACTACACATATCCTGTGCATTACACCTCTGCTCTTTAAATTACACCTGAGTTTAATGTTTATCTAAGCTTCCTTGTTTTATTTCTCCTATATATAGTATGTCACACTCTAATTATTGAACCCAATATAAATCTTAAGACAACATCAAACTTGTAAGAGAATAATCATTATAGTTTTTGATCATGAGATAAAGGCAATATAAAAAGTGAACACACCGGACATATTAATGATCATTTTTATTTGTTATATAACAATTCTAATTATTTAAAGGATCCCTACCTGGTGTCTTGGGCGACCCACGATGGAGGGGAACACAGCTCTGGGGGCATCGTCCCCGGCAAATCCGGCCTTGCACATTCCAGATCCATTGTCGATAACTAAAGCTGCAACGTCTTCGTCGTCCATTTTACTGCTCTTGAAGGAGCGCCCACTTCTTAAAGATGTTTATTGGATTTGAGAGAATTAGTAGATATGCTTTGGTTCTATCTGATTTCACAAAACAAACAGTCAAGCAGAAAAAAATTACCTTATAAGGTAAAAACATTGGTGGATATCACGTGATATACCCATAAGTGTTACGCAACAGAGGTAATCAATACCGCATAAAAATGTATGGAAAAGAGCTGAGACAAACTCTATAATTAGATGTAAACTATTGGGAAGCTTTACATGTATTTAATTTATACTAAAAGTTATGAGCAATTAATTACAAATTTTTTTGTGATTTGTTGACCTCTCATGATTTCTGAATTTTTTTTCTGACATTCTTTCAACAGAAATAATTGACAATGAAGATCAAAATTAAATGACACGTATGCATACCTGTAACGAAAAAGTTAAAGGAGTATTAAATTAAGAAATTGAATTTATGACAAGTTTAAGAACTGGAACTTAAGGTGGCCGATTAGGGTATTATTTTGCGCTGTATAGTGGAATACGGTATATTTACAATTTTAAAAATCTATTTTAGTAGTACATGTATTATCAAATTACATATATAAAATATTAACAAAAGAACTCCTTAAAGAAAGTGATATTTAACATTATTTAATTTGCTGGATAGTCGGACTTTGTCCTTGTTTGTTTATGACGTTATCATAAATTGAAAACTTTGGGAAGAGGCTATAAAAATGATATTCATTGAGCGTAGTTATTTAACTTTAGCTATGATTTCGCAGATTTTGCGCTCCCTTTTTCGCCTCTTAAAGGAAACATATGAATGAATCAAATATGCATAGAGATACTTGACTCTAATTGCATTATAAGGCTTATCACACCGTATACAACGTTTTAAATTGCACACCTTTTAACATGTTAGAGCGCATATGTTTTAAGTACAGCGTGTACAAGTCTGTATAGACTAGATAAGTGCCTTTGCAGATAATTCAAAAATTGTTTCAAACATTTTATCAAAAACAATTAAAATAAATGTGCAAAATTTCAGATTAATAGAATAATTAGATAAGTCCTGGTGAAATTATAAACTTGCATATGTCTATTGACCTGGAGCAGCATCGCTACGTCATTTTAACGTCACGCCAGCCTTAGATCTTTTCTCATGTTAAAACGATCGGAAAGCCTAACTACTCTTTCTCTATCATCACAAATAACATTTTAGAAATTAAATTCTCTCTTTTCTTAAACGATTCTTTAAAAAAATGAAATGTGTATTGTTGTTATCCCGATGTAATATTACATGTACATGAAGTGTCATATTCAGGTTGACTTAGTATCATGCAGTACCGATTTTTGCACCCCGGGTCAACGTTATTTAGTCCGTAAAAATTGATGGTCGTCCATTTCACTCTGGTTGAATTATTTGTTAAGTAAAAAAAATAACAATGGGAAAAAACTCTTAGACATTTTTTTTTCTCTCTCTCTTTTATTGTTTAAGCAGGTCGTTTACTCTGGACAAGAGTTCTGCACAGCACTAAACAAATTTTAGGTATGCTTGCTACGCCGCTTTGACGTCAAAATCCATTTTGTCGTCGTAATCAGATTCCTATACCGTGTCTAAATTTTTTAATCATCTCCGTATTACTGATCGAAATTCTACCAAACTTGCACAAAATGAAGTCAAAATAAAACTGAAAATATATATACTGTACATTACTTGAATTTTGTCCGCTCTTACTAAGAGTCCACCGGGCGTTTGAACGTAGGTGCTACATATTTTTGATATCTGATTTCGTGACTGAGCCGGGTACCCCTACCATTGACATAATAATATGCCATTGAAAAGAGGAAATTAAATATTTATAAAATATTTCTTGCTTTTATTAATTTTTGGTGTCTGTCAAACGTATACGCCATTTTTCATCAAAAGGCGTTCATTAGAAAGAAAAATAACCACAATGTCTCAATAATTTCCAAACAACCCTCGTGTATATATATATATATATATATATATATATATATATATATATATATATATATATATATATATATATATATATATATATATATATATATATATATATATATATAATTTAGGTCAGAGCATTTTTTTTTTGTAAACTTGCTGCTTATACACAGGAATGTGCCAAAAACAATAACTGAAATGATTGCCGCAGGTAGGTAGCAAGCTTGCACAAATGTTTGCAGCAAGCTTGCAGCAATTTTTACCGCAAGCTTTCAGCAGAGTTTCCATATATGGAAAATCAAATGATTGCTGCAGACTTGCAGTTAACCTCAGTTGCATAATAAAATGTTTGCTGTAAGTTTGCTGCATGCTTGCCGCAAACTTGCTGCAAACTCGAATGTTTTTATAGGTTGTCATGGTTTATATACCCTTATAATTATTGTAGCAGGTTTGTAGCAAAATCTAAAGAAGACTTTGTGCAAATGTTTGTAGGAAGGCAATATTTTTGGCAAGGAAGAATTTTAGCTGCTCGAAGAAATTTTAAAATATATTGCTTAGTAAAATATTGAACCTTATCACCTTAGTCCTTAGTTTTTTGATTTGAACAAATACTTCTATATTACACTGAACTGGTTGGGTTTAGGTTTGACTAATTTGATATTTTTTATATAACTTTAAAAATTCTTATTTTTATAATACTTTTATCTCAATTCTGCCATCATCTTGAACTTTCGCACCATGTGTTGGATTAAGTTGAATCTAATCTAAATTTCAATGTATTATGTGGATCTAAGATCCTGATATGTTGCTTTCGTATTTATTAGATAAAGGGTATTTATAAGAGTTTTTGTGAATCAGTTTATTCTTTTTTTATCGATGTAATTAATGACAAAAGAAATTTTCATGTAAATCGGCTTGAAATAATTGTTTGCAATATCTTATCTTAAGGGTTGATTAGGTAGAACAAAGATTTTATCCATACATAATTTCTTTGAGAAATAGTTCTGTTGGTACCTTGTTCGTGTCTGTGTGTTTAATTGCGTTTCCTCTTCATATTTTGCGTTAAGAAACACACTGAGAGTCTTTAATTCTTGAAAACGTGATGTGAGTCATTAGCGTTTTAAATGTGATTGTGTGTTTTCAAAAACCCTTAATATAGCAAATACATGAACAATGTACAGTCAAACACGCATATAACGAATTGCCAGGGACGAACAATTTTGATTCTTTATAATTGGTATTCGTTAAAATTGAAAAAAAAAATATACGCTTTGAAAATAAAGGGAATCACATTCTTTTAAGACTGAGTTCATTATAAGTTTGTTTCTTTGCTTGTTTGCTTGTTTGCTTGTTTAACGTCCCTTTCAAGAATTTTTCACTCATATCGAGAAGCCAACAGTTGCTAGTGGAGGACTGCAAATTGTTGACCTATACGCGGTTTACTCAGAACCATTCACGATTTGAACATGAATCCACACCACCTGAGGGTGCTTGCATATTTACATAACTAATTATGAGAAAATTGTTCATTACAAAAAGATCTTCAGATTTGTAATGAAAACTTTTAAATTTTGAATTACCTGAGTAAAAACTTTAAAAGTTTGATTTACTAATGTGAATATTTCGGAACCTTGATTAACTTCAGTGAAAAACTTTGAAACTTGAATCAACACTTCCTGAAGACTTTCGCATTTTAATATGACTAATTAGACCCTTCTTCTTTAAGTTTTAAAATTAATTTTCCCTATTTACCCCCATGGTATATTTTAATCCCTGTTGTGGACCCACCTTACCCCTGAGACGCATGATTTGAACAAATTCCAAACTTCACTTCCTTAAGATGCTTAATTATTTTTTATTTGAATAATCATGCGCAGCTAGGTTAAGGACTCCCATATCTAAGTCAGCCTATGCAGAGGTTTGGGAGAGCTATTATGACGTCACGTTAAAACAATACAAATGAATCTCGATGAATAAATACTATAATATTCTTTTCAAAACACACGAAATACTTTCGTTTCTCATAAATGTTATAAAAATAAATGGATGTGCAACTTATCTTGCCATAATAGCACTTAGCGTATGCAGAATGAAAGCCAGCTTGATCTCGCTGTACTTACTGAGATGACGTCATTTCTGAGTTTGACACGCAGTTTCTCTGTATTTGAGGCGTGGATCAAACTTTTATCGTGGCTTGTAAAAATAAAAATAAATACGAAACATGCGTAGTCAGACAAAAAGAGAGACATATTCTGAAATATATTAATCCACATTTTATTGTCAAACTAAATTGATAATGTGTAGACTTTATTTATAGCCGTAGGGAGCACATTTGTACAGTAACGTGCTAGAATGAGGGGTCCAGTCCCTCGAAAATATCAAAAGTTCAACGATATCCGTTTCACTATAAATTCTGAATTTTTAAACACGTGTAGCCATTATTCCTACTATTCTGAAAAGTGCTGGGAGCTGGTTGTACATCGTTTATTTATTTCGTAATCTAACATTATTCCAATGCGTATTACATTTTTGTCTGGAGTTTATAGAAAAACGGCTAAATTTTAAACAATTCTCAAGCATGAGGAAGTTGCTCCCAGCACTTTTCGGGTTAAGGAATTTGTCTCAAAGAAAACAAAATAAATTTTATAGCGGAAGAATGCCCGTATATCGTTGAACTTTTACGATCTTCGTAGTAGTACATATATGGTCCAATTTTAAACCTGTCACGTGACAAACAGCTGATGTAAGCGATGTCACTTTGGCCGAACTCAGCAGAGACCCGATATATATAAATGCAATCACCACAATTCACATTTATCAAAACTACTGCTGTTAAAAAAAAATATTAAAATTGTAGTCATTTTCCCTGAATATATAAAGGCGTATATTTCATGGGCGTCCTTAACCTAGCTGCGTGGTCCTGCTGTTCTTGAGAGAAGGATTTTTCCAGATCCCTTTCCCATTGACCAATCCGAGTACGGGCCAACCTATTATTACAACTGCATTCCATAATATTTGATATGGGTCTTAAATTGTGACCTTTTACCAGCACCAACTGCTAGCAAGTAGATTCAATTTCGTTTAATTAATGAACATATTTCAGTTATATTTTGTTTTCTGGGGCGGGTCATTTCAATTTTTTTTTATTTTGATGCCATTAAGGATTCTGTTGTGGATGTTCTTTATAAGTCATTGTTAAATATGCTAGATAGACAACGTTTATGCTCTCTGAGTATCTTCTGTCTACTTATAATTGTGGTGTACTTGCATCATGTTTTATCTGTTATAAAAATTTAATAATAGTGTGGTTATTTAATTCATCTTTTCTATAAAAACAGAATAAAAAACAATCATAGTATTTCTTGATTTAATGATTTTTGATATATGAGTGACAAGTTGTAGAAGTGTAGAAGTATATAAAAAATCAAAGTAAAAGAAACATTTTGAAAAAGAAACTATGTGTTCTTAATATGCAAAATATACCGGAAAATTCTGAAAAAAAAATTGCTAGATTTCCACTTAGACTTAAAAGCACTTTCTATGCACAATAGAAGGACCAGATTCGTCATATTCCTGCTTGCTGATCCACATTTGTTGGAAAGTAGAGAGGGAGGCAAGAATAGAACCGCCGATCCAGACAGAGTATTTTCTTTCTGGTGGAGCAATAATCTTAATCTTCATTGTTGATGGAGCTAAAGCTGTGATTTCTTTCTGCATACGGTCAGCTATACCTGGGTACATTGTTGAACCACCTGATAATACTGTATTTGCGTACAAGTCCTTACGGATATCGACATCACATTTCATGATGCTGTTGTATGTTGTTTCATGCAAACCAGCAGACTCCATTCCAAGGAAAGAAGGTTGGAACATGGCTTCTGGGCACCGGAATCGCTCATTCCCTATGGTAATGACTTGCCCATCGGGGAGCTCGTAACTCTTCTCCAAGGATGATGATGCTACAGCTGTTGCCATTTCCTGTTCAAAGTCCAGAGCAACATAACATAATTTCTCTTTTATGTCTCTGACAATTTCTCGTTCAGCTGTGGTTGTGAAAGAGTAACCGCGTTCTGTGAGAATTTTCATAAGGTAATCGGTCAGATCACGTCCAGCAAGATCTATTCTCAAAATAGCATGGGGAAGGGCGTATCCTTCATATATGGGCACTGTATGGGTGACGCCGTCTCCTGAGTCCAGTACAATTCCAGTTGTGCGACCAGAGGCATACAAAGAGAGAACCGCCTGAATAGCTACGTACATAGCGGGAGAATTAAAGGTTTCGAACATAATCTGTGTCATCTTTTCTCTGTTGGCTTTTGGGTTGAGTGGGGCTTCGGTTAAAAGGACAGGATGCTCTTCTGGAGCCACACGTAGTTCATTATAGAAAGTGTGATGCCAGATCTTCTCCATGTCGTCCCAGTTGGTGACAATGCCGTGTTCGATGGGATACTTGAGGGTGAGAATACCTCTTTTGCTTTGAGCTTCGTCTCCTACATAGCTATCCTTCTGACCCATACCAACCATCACACCCTGAAAAAAAAAATAATTTTTAAAAGTATGTAGGGTGAAAAGTTGGTAATGTGTGACTTGAGATTACCGGTAGATAAAAAAATGTTGCCATGAAAAAAGTTTTTACTTTTTTGTCGATCGTTCATGGATGGTCAATTTTTCTTGCATTACCAAAATATCATATTCATACAACCTTAATATCATGAACATGAACTCTTCTTAAATTATTACTTCAAGTCATGAGAATGATCTAAATGTAACAAACGAGATAAAAGAAATTTACTTCATCAATTAAGCTTAATTTCTCCAGAATAAAGGGGAGTTATACCAACTTGTAAATTCTGTAATTTCAAAACTTCTTTGTCATCTTTAAGTCACCTTCAATCTACATTTGTATTATATTTAAGCAGCACTAAAACCATTTTTAATCTATCTTTTTAAACAGCTTTATCGCTTGATATATTTTTTTTTCCTTTTCAGTTCCAAAATACCAATTTACACATTATTACTGAAAACACATCAAATCAGGTCGTCACAAGCCCATAGGAAAGATAAAGAGGTTTCCCGACTGATTCGATACGCAGGGGCATGTTCTATAAAATAACATCTAGCATTCCATAATGCCATATATAGTTTACATTATTTGCACATATAGTGGGCTATTTCTTATTTGAAATGAATAAAAGACAAAACTTATTGTATAAATTCTACTAACTGTGTTATAAACATAATGTTTACGTATTTGCACTTCATAACTTTTCAATATATTGAGAAATGCTGATAGAACTTTATTCTGATTTTGAGAACATGACCTTTTTTTTAATTAAGAATGTAGGACGAATTGATGTGCGCCATACCTTACAAAATTAAATTTTGTTTCATTCATGTTTTTTTTTTAAACAACATCGTACCTTAAAATCATTTCAATAGTTTAGTTTGTCAACATATACAAGGGCTTTTTTTAACATTGAAATCCCTGACACTTAATTGAACATAACATTAAATACCTTACTTCATTTCAAAAGATCTTCTAATTACACATATCCTGCGCAATATAACTTTACATTTAAATCGCTCAGGACTTCAAATTTTACCTTGAATTTCCTTTTCTCCGCTATCAACCATGCCAAACTTTTAAAAAACAAAATTTAATTTAAAACGTTAATTTCTCATTTAAACAGCATTAAACTAGTAAGTAAAAAACTAGCATGTTTTGGTGATCTCCATGATTTAGGCTGCATAAAAATTGAACACGACGAACAGAGCTATTATCTTTTACTGATTACTTTATGTAACAATCTGTATGTTTTATTTTTGTGTTTTCTAACCTGATGTCTAGGGCGTCCCACAATGGAGGGGAACACTGCTCTAGGGGCATCGTCCCCGGCGAAACCAGCTTTACACATTCCAGATCCATTATCTATAACCAAAGCTGCAACATCTTCGTCACCCATTTTTCAAATCTCAAAAGTGCTTTCTCAACGTTGGAGAGGATCGTTTGAACTTAATAAAATCAATAGACGTGAATTGGTTATGTATGAGTTCATAAAAGAAACAGTCAAGCAGAAAAAAATATCCTTATATGGCAACACTTTATGGCTGAGGGATCACGTGATATAGGGGAAAATATGCAACGCAGAGGTTATGAAATGTATGTCAGCAATCGCATTTGAAAGAAAAAAGGTAAAGCTGATTCAATTTTGATATTGCTGCACAATTGAAGAAAAAATGAACTTTTTGAAGAAAGAAAAATCCGAACCTTTTCTTTTTTTTAAATTTTGAAAGTATGTTTTTTATTATTTAATTGAAGGATAACTTTTATTGATGTATAATTACGTCATTTTTGAGCTCCGAAAAATTTCCTCTGATAAACTTTTATTTTTGTAACAAACTTAGAGAAGTAAATAAGAGGAAATTAGGAACAGAATTAAAATTACATGTAAAAGTTTCTGTGAAAAAATATAAATTACGAAAATGAGTCTTTTGACATATTTCAGAATTGCATCTTCAAGCATAGCAATTTGTAATGGTTATCATATGCATATAACTAAATTACACTACTGGCTTTCAAAACCCCTGTCCGTATGAAAATCCCCTGTCTTTCTCTGTAACCTACAGCATTTCCACAATTATCTACGGTATATCTACAGTATGGTACGGTATGTCTCCTCTGCATATACAGTAATTCTCAGTATGCCACTGTATGTATCCCAAGCATGCCACAGTTACCTACAGTAGGCCTCAGTACGCCTACGGTAGGCCCCAGTATGGCTACTGCTTCCTACAGTGACCTACGGTATGCCACAGTATATGCCCCAGTAGGCCCCTGTATTGTTAACCGAAGCAAAACGGTAGAAGTACACAATGTTTTAAGAGGCAATGTTTTTACGGTTGAAGCTATTCATCGCTAAAAATTATTTATGAAGGAGATTATGATGATTTATAGTATTGTTTTTGTACATTACATCTCTAAAGTAATGATATACTTGCTATGTTTTAACAAATAAAATTAAAAAAATAATAATATAGTACGGTCAATATATTAGAAATAACGATAATTAATCACTATTATTTCAAGAAAAAGTCCTGTCCTGTTGTAAGTGGCTGAGAATCTTTATATGACTTTGAATCATCGAATCATCAACAAGGTCAGTCTGTTTTGACACATTGAATGAACATATTTGGACTTTCTTCGAACTTATTAAAAAGAAAAATTATAGTTCGTATTAAGCCCGCATGTTTTTCAATAAGATAAAATGAACATGATTGTAAAGAAGGTTTTTTTTTTTTTATCTAGGAGCATAATTCCCGATAAATATTATTAAAAATGATGCCATTAATAAAAATGACAGTGGCTAATGAACTGAGGGACGTGATAAAAAATTATTCTTCCTGACTCTTACATGTACTTGATAAAATTGAATTATAAGTCGTATTCAGATAATATTTAATTTTTATGTACTTATGTAACGAATTCCAAAACAATTATTAACAGCACTGAAATATTATTCTTTTCTCTTTTTCTCGTTATTTTAAAACGGCCCAGAAATTATTTGAATGTAATTTTCCATTCTTTTTTGTTGCATTTCTGACGAATCCTAATCTGCGTTTTGATTTACGTAATATTCTGCAAAAAGTCAATCAAGTTTCGATTGTGAAATCGATCAATCATTTTCTTTTTAATTTATACGCAACTTTCATAAAAATTTCAAACTGCTGAGAGCTCAAACTATTTATAATTGGAGGATTGTATAAAGCTATTTAGTTTATAAGCCATCCCCTCTTGTCTCCGTAAAATACGCTAAAGACAGGGCCTGACTACTTGTACACAGTTTTAGACATTAATTCTACGTCACCTTTTTGTTTAATATCGTGATGAAATTCTGCATAATTTGGACCTTATCAGAACAAATTTTTCCGATTTCCGATCATAAAATTAATTAGTATGCTCTTATGGTGATACAGAATTGATTTTGTTTAAAATGAAATGAATTTATAATTTAATAATAATTTCATTTACTCTATCATCTAGTTTCAATTTTCAGACCCACTTATGATTAAGAATCATTGATCCGCCCCGCGCTTTTCTTTTATCAACTTCATTGTATGCACTGAGGCAGAACCAGGGTAGGTTCTAGTATATATATCTAATGTAATTTGCAGTGGTCAGCTTAACAATAGGTCCTAATTGCCTATTGTTCTCTGTCTGCGTCTGACCACTGGTGTTAGGACTAAATAAACAACTGACTGACCACTCGTAAGAAGACTGTTTTCACATTCACTGTGAAATATCAGTTTAATTTATAGTATAGATATGCTAGAAAACTTTAATTTAAAGAAATATCCAAAAAAAAAAATGAACACTGAAAAACAATATATTTACAATTATTACTGCTAATTTGTACTTTATCCTTGCTAATACTTTCAACATCGATGTTGTTTCTTAGGCGCTTCTTTAAGGGGTGAAACGCATGAATTAAAAATATAAGTTTCGGCTATAGAGTTTCTGTTTTAAAAATATCATATATTTGTAATGTAAAATGCATTGAAATGCTTATAATCCCCTTATTCACTGGTACATTGAAATAAGCAGTCATTAAAATAATTCGAGTCCAGAGAGAGAGAGAGAAAAAAAAAACCATAATTACACTTTAGATTATGCAAAATAAATGGATAAGAAGTTATTTTAAACAAAGGTCAGCGAAAACAGTTGAGAAATAAGGATAAAAAAGGATCCGTTACGGTACATGAACCAAAATCTTCCGTTAGTTTTATATCAAAATCCACTAATTTAAAATTTACTCTGCTTTATATGTAGTTTGTATCGTACGCTAATTGATGTGAAAAAAATTCGGAATTTAAAACACCTGGATATATCTCTCAAACCTTTGGAAAAAAGAAGATAATTCAATACTAAGTCTTTATGAATTCCTGAAATGCTATAAATCGTATCATTTATTTTGAAAATTTATTTTAAATTGTTTCGTATCAAACTCATTCTTTCTGACTATAAGAACATACTTAGACACAAGACAGGGCACGGAAATATGCATGACTAATTTTTTCTCTCAAACAATTCAGAGCGTCAAAAAAAAAAAAAAAAAAATCTGACTTTTTAAAAAGCCTATTCCCCCATTTCCTCACCCTCAAAACGATGCTAAGTGTCGGGGTTAGAAATTAAAAAAAAACGATAACGTTTACCCATGGTCTATTCTGCATTACAGAAATCAGCAACATTTATAAATTCTGTTAATCATGTACATGATTCCACAGTCCACGGGCTCCTGATCAGATCAAGATCCGGTATACAAATTGGCGCAACGAACTATCATGTTATTTTCAATTTATTCTCAGAAATCAAACACCGAAGAGTTTTTTACCTGCGATGATAAATTTCTGACTCCATTATAAATACCAAGGCACTGCAGATGCATACACTTTTTTGTCCTTTAAAAATTGAAAATTGTGACACGTGCGAATATGAATTACGATTCTCCCGGCATGTAGACTGGCCCGAAGATGTAAAAGTTAATATTGTTTGTGAATACATGTAATTAAATAAAGACATGGCAGTAATATCAAAATAATCAAACATTTAAAATCAGTAATTTGATTATTCAACATAAATTAGAGCGGGTTATCAATTTTCCCAACACCAACGCAAGCTAAGCGAGATCGAAGTCTGATATAATTCTTTGATCTGTAATTAGGGGACAAATGGATTGAAATTAAAGTCCCTTGCATAATTGAATTATCTTTTATTAGAATTCATTGAACTAAACAGTGAAAATAAGAATTAAATCCTGTTATACTGTAAAAGAAATTTATATTATATATATATAAGAGTGAATGGAATCTTTTAACATGTACGCTGCTTCGGGGGGGGGGGGGGTGGGGGGTAAAAATTATATTTCCGTGTATACATACATCTACAATGCAAAAACGCCAAACCAAACGGAGTAGTTCGCATTCGTTATTTGACACATGATATGAAATGCCCGACAATGCTGGGGAAAGGACTCCCCCACCAATACCTGTTAATGTCATGTCAATGTGATACATGTACATTTATCCTTCGTCTAACAGTATGCGATAAATATCGTTATCCTAAATCCTCAATCTAAAATGCTTACTTTACGAACTCCTTGCTCCTTACTACGTTATCATTATTCTAGACATAAGTATCGACAGCTAGCACTATGAACAGTAAACGAAGACTGTTCTTCAATCTAGTTATTTATGATAATTTTATGTGCTGTTTACTGCAAAGAGAATGGAAACACAAATTCTAAATTACAATTAACTGAAGATGAACAAATATAAAAATAATTTTTGTAAACATGCATTTTAGTATATACACGTCATATATATGTATATTCATCCCTGACAATTAGAAATACCCCCCCCCCCCCAAAAAAAAAAAAAGAAAGAAAGAAATTAATATCAAATACTGAGTAACTTTTTTTAATTGCCAGACATGGCAAAATAATTTTTAGGGTCTCCATTTCTTGAAATTGTCGAACGTGTTCAATATATTTTTAACACAGCTATAGGCCTATATTGTGTTTCATAATATGAACATCACAATCACTGACACAAATAACGAATTCGTTTTAACTAAAGATTTTTCCACTAATCTAAAAATATGTCAAGCTACAGTAAACATAATCCATTCACATTGATCAAAATGTAGAAGTCAAGTCACAACAAAGTATTACTGTTACACTGTACACTATTACGTTAGACTGATACAGCTAATCAGGTCCATTAATAATTTTGCATCGTCACTGTCACCACCCCGATCACAGAGAATCCATACCATTATCGGTTTTTTAGCATGAACAAGTGGCTTGCTATGTCTGCTTACATGGAAAAGCTGTCATCTAATTGGATTGTCTTCCTACTAAGGATTTCGGAAAAAAAAACCCACTGACAATTACTACGTACGCTATTGATAATGGAAGTTGTATTACCAGATTATTTACAGCCTCAATCACA